CCCCCCCCTTTTTTTTTTTAAATAAAACAACTACACTGGCATTTCACAGAAACCGGCTTTTGAGGGCCTCTGCTCCAGGATCGTGTTAGGTCCCTCAATTTGTTACCAAAATGAAGTCCTTATGTTTCTTCCCATAATCAGCGCTGCTCAGTGAGATCAAAAATGGAGCCTTTACAGCCTGAAATCTGAACTGTAGATGAAAGTAGTTTTTAAAATGTCCTAAAATGACTAGTTTTGTTGCAAAAATACCAAGACATGAGCCAGTTTTCCTTCACCTTCCCCTCCGCCCCCCAAAACAAAACCATGTAAACTTGATATTTAAGTAAGTGCAAATTGCTGAGGACAAACTTTAAAGGCAAATTAGGCAAGTGGAGGAGGATTCGTGGAACTAACTGGCAAATCTCTAAAGCTCTTAGCAGGAGAAATCAGTACAGAGGGAGAGCCAGTGTGAGTATAATTAATCATTTGAACACCACTCCTTTCCTAAGCTACGCCCGGTACTTTGGCATTTAAATTGCTGCTTTCTCTTTGGCAACTGTATTTCTGTTAAAAAGAGAAAAAAAGGTGGGTGTTCGCAGTAAGTTTAGTGAACCAGAGGTACGTGCTGGTTTTCCCCTCCAGTCCCACGTCGCTTTCCCAAAGTCTCTACCTCTTAAAAAAGTTTCAGGAGGGGCAGGCCCTGCAGTTTAACCTGAAGATGAGATTGTGGATGTGGGGCCCCACCCACTCTGTTGGCTACTCGGTTTGGAAAAAAGGAGGAAGTTGTGCCAGCTCTGGCTCTGAGTTCATACCTTGAGGGCCTCCGGGGCATTGCCGGGGTGAAGGTGGAGGTGCCACGGACCTGGGCAGGGCCAGGAATGCCCAGAAGTGGGAACAGGCCAGGACTAGCCGAGCCATTGTCCCAGCTGCCCGGCACATCAACTCACCACCGCCCAGACATTGCGTCTCTCGTGGACAGAACAAGGAACGCGTATCAGTTGACATCCGCAGTACCAAGTTAAATACTCTCTCTCAGTCTGATTTGAAAAGTGAGATCAGTGACCTGGGGTCTGATCGTCTTTTGACGGCACTGGATGGCTAGAGGGGACCAGGCCCCACACTGCTTTGCTTTTCCTCGATGTGTTTGTTTTTCTGAAGTGTTTGCCTGTTGGACAAGCGGCTTTGCATCCGCGTAGTGATCGGGAGCCCCCTGCCTGGTTCATTTAGTATTTGGACCTTCACGTTAAGTCAAATGGGTGAATGGTGTCCACCTGCCTTGTGTGTGTGAATACCTTTTTGCTGCACCTGGAAAAAGTCAGTATTGCCGAATCTGATCAAATTAGAACATAGTAATTAGGCTACCTAATTGACCTCTAGCAGCAAATTTAAACTTCTTGAGAAGAATTGAAAAGCAATCCTGCTATCAACAATTGTATCTTTCCCCTGGTTTTGGTTTCTTGAATGTCTTTTAAGAATGAAACTTTTTTTTCTCATAAGCAATAGTTCTAGAATATTCTTCATTAACAACAGTATCACTTAGCACACACGTGTATGTAGAAACCTCTGTGTAGGTGTGTATGTGTGTGTCCAGGTTCAGAACTTTCTCCAGTTTATACGTGTGTTTTCAAGTTACTTCATTGGTTTGTAAAGCGCTCAGTGTTGGATTATATTCTTCCGATCATTCGTTGTTGGGCCAAAGTGAGTCCCCGTTACCATGATTTTAAGATATAAGACATCTTTGAAGACGGATGCCCCCATGGAGGCTTCCACTGTCACTGGCC